TTAAAGATTTTATTTATTTATTTAACAGAGAGAGACACAGCGAGAGAGGGAACACAAGCAGGGGGAGTGGGAGAGGAAGAAGCAGGCTTCCCACTGAGCAGGGAGCCCGATGTGGGGCTCAATCCCAGGACCCTGGGATCATGACCTGAGCCGAAGGCAAGACGCTTAACCATCTGAGCCACCCAGGCACCCAGTCCCCACATTCTTAAGAAGAGATGAGAAAGGAGTGAGAATCAGTTGACTAGAGTTGTCATAGTCTGCTCTCTACCCCTGCCTTCTTGGCAGCTGGATCTTTCCTTGGCATTGCAGACTGTTCACCTTTGTTTGGGTTTGTTGACTGACAGTATGTTAGTAACAAGGACAATAACCACTCTTTATGCAGTGCTCATATGTACCAGGCAGTCCTTCCTGTAGGTGCGCCAGCCCCACATCAAATAGCTACACTGTTATTATCCTCATTGACTGGATGAGAATCCTTATAAGGCGCAGAGAGATGAACTTGGCGCAGGTCATAAAGTAAAGAATGGTGGAGCTAGGATTTGAACCTAGGACAGCCTATGTTCTTAATCACAAGCCTTAATGCCCCCCCCCCCGCCCACATTATAAACCTACAGAAATGCTGGAGGCCTGCTGATAATCCCACTCCTCTAACCTCTGACTGTGCAGGTCTCCTGTTCCAGTGACGGCTCTGTGGGGCTGTGGGACCCAGAACGGCAACAGCAGCTTGGCCAGTTTCTAGGTCATCAGAGTGCCGTGAGCGCCGTGGTGGCCGTGGTGAGGAGGCGGTGCAGAGCTCACTGGGGGCCCTCGAGGGCTGAGGAGGCTTTGGGACCCTGGGTGCATTGGGTATCTAATCTCAAAGGCAAAAGAAGTATAAAGAATGAGATGCCCGGGCCTGCATTAGAGCAGGATGAGGGTATTGAGACGGAGGGTTGGAGTGAGGGGAGGGAGAGGGCAGCTCGGTATCTGGACCTCATGCAGGATTGCAGTCCTGAGCCACCCAGCCTGTGTCCCCGGGTTCTCCGCACTCTTGGACATCTCCTAAGCCTTTAGTGCTCAGCCCTCACCTCAGTGGTAGGAGTCGTACTCCCCACGTCTTGCTCAGTGCGACTTTGCTCTGATCCTGTGCTCTGGGGCAGGAAGAACACGTGGTGTCTGTGGGCCGAGATGGGACCTTGAAAGTGTGGGACCATCAGGGCGTGGAGCTGACGAGCATCCCTGCTCACTCGGGACCTATCAGCCACTGTGCAGCTGCCCTGGAGCCCCGGGCAGGTAGGGAAACGTCAGCTCCCTTTTCTTCCCTTCTCCCCCACCCCCTACCCCCCGCTTCTCCCCTTCTTCTGACTTCGTCTCTGTGCCTTATCAGCTGGGCAGCCTGGGTCAGAGCTTCTGGTGGTGACTGTTGGACTGGATGGGGCCGCACGGTTGTGGCATCCACTCTTGGTGAGTTCCCTGAAAGGACTGGGGTGGACGGAGTGGAGAGGGCAGAGCGGGACAGCCTCCTGTGGCGTTGACCCCCCTGCTGTCCCACCTCCATCCTCTCCTCCTAGGTGTTTCAAACACACACCCTCCTGGGACACAGTGGCCCAATCAGTGCAGCTGCAGTTTCAGAGACCTCAGGCGTCCTGTTGACCGCCTCAGAGGATGGTTCCGTACGGCTCTGGCAGGTCCCTGAGGAAGCAGGTGAGTGAGGCATGGAGAGAGGCAGCGTATGAAAGAGGGCTGTGTTAGTGGGGCCATGAAGGTCAAGGGTGGCCTGGTATCTCCTCTCATGTCCCAGCGGTGGTCCGGCTTCTAATGCATCACTTCCTTCCTTCTCCAGATGACACATACACGCCCAGGAGTCCTGCAGCCATCACCGCTGTGGCGTGGGCCCCAGATGGTTCCGTGGCAGCGTCTGGGAATCGAACTGGGGAACTAACCCTGTGGCACAAAGCTAAGGCTGTGGCCACAGCACAGGTGAGTTGGGGCAACCTCGGTGCTTGTCTGTGTGACTTCTGCCCCAGCTGTGCATGGACTGGTATGTGCACAGATGGCTGGGAGGGGAAAGAGGGTTAAGCCTGGCTCCTCAGGAGGACTGAGACGGACTTGTTATGCTCACCAGGCTCCGGGCCACATCAGTGCTCTGGTGTGGTACTCGGCACACACCTTGATTGTTCTCAGCGCTGATGAAAAGGTCAGCGAGTGGCAAGTGGAACTGCAGGAGGGTTCGACACCCGGAAATTTCAGGTGAGATGGGGCAGCTGGGTTAATGTGATACGTCGATGGTCTCCTTATACCCGGGATTTTGTGCAAATCACCCCACTTCTACTTCTGAACTAGGTCAATAGGATGTTAGTTAAGTGGGAAAAAGTCCTTGGGAAATTGTTTTTGGCTCCCCATCATGTCAATTTAAATAGCCACCAGCAATCGGCAGAGTGGTTAGTGCTGTAATGAAGAGAGAGGTCTATATAACTCTCAGAATTTGAGAAATTTATAAAAAGTTGCTATTTGAGGTTGGGCTTTAAGGATGAGTAGGACTTTTCTGGACCCACAAGGGAAGGGAATGGTGTTTCAGGAAGAGGAGGTGGTATTAACCAAAGGCAAGGAGGCATGAGAATGCATGGTATATTCTGGGCACAGCTGAGTAGTTGGGTTCTTGGTGAGAGTGGGGGCAGGGGGGTGGGGGAATTGGATTGAAAAGATAAACTGGGGGTAGGCTGCAGAGGGCATAGTGTTAAGGATTTTGAGAATAATTATCTGCAGTTTAGGAAGAGGACTCCAGTGGCAGTATGGAAAATGGACAGTAGTAGAGAGATTTTAGAGGCAGGGAGACCACCTTCATAGCGTTGCTCTAGTCCAGGGAAGACATAGTGTGGGCCCCGAGCCAGGCAGGGAGATGAGAAGGAGGGATAGAGATTTAGGCATGTGTTGGCAAGTAGAATCCACAGTGCTTATTGATCAGTTGGAGGTCAGGAGGGAAGGAAAAGACAAGAAGGTTAGAGATTCCTCTTTTGAGCAGGTAAGGGGATGGTGATAATGAATACTGATACAAGAAAAACAGAAAGAGGAAGAGAATTTGTAGGGAAGGTCATTGATTGTGTTCTGTACTTCGCTCCTGAGGAATTCATGGGGAGCCGAGGAGCCTGAGAGAGGTGGACTAAAATAGGATCTTTCTTTGTCCCTGTACCTTTTGTGAGTTGCAGTCTTCACCTGAACCGAGTTCTGCAGGAGGACTTAGGCTTCCTGACAGGAGTGGCCCTGGCTCCAGACGGTCACTCCCTCCTCTTGGCCGATGCGGGTTTGCAGTTACAGTGCATGAAGCCAGGGGATGCTCCTTCTGTAATCTGGTAGGATTCAAAAAGCTGTTTCCTCTCAGGCTACAGAAAAAGGCAAAGTGGGTTATGAACTTGGGTCTAACTTAGAACAAAACACTGGGGTCTTACAGAGAGATGTTCATACTTCAGCCTCTTTCTTTCTTGTAAACCAGGAGCAGCCACCATTCAGAATGTGCTATGTTATTGTCCACCCATCAAGACTATGGTGTGTTTGTCCTGCAGCCAGCGAAACCTGGAGGCCTTTTTTTCTTAGTAAGTCCTATGTGAGTGTGTGTTAAAACATTTGTCCAGGGCCAATACTTTTAAAACTCTGGGGCCGTGATTGAGGATAAGAGGAAGGGAAGGGCACTGGTTCCAAATTCCTTTCTGTTCCGTCAACTGGAGCAGCTCTACTT